CCTTCATCCAACTAAGAATTTGACATGGAACTCGAGGTGCAAGCCAACCCTTTTGAAAAATCTCATATTTTCACTGATTTTACTATTGAAGCACCTGCATTTCACATAGAAGAATATTTTTAAAATATGGGTTGGACGTCTATTGCTACATTAGAGGAACATGCATATTCACGTCTCATGAAAGAATTTCACAAAAAACATGATCATTTTTCCTCGTTCTGATAAGATTTATTGTTTATTTAAAATATTCGCATTACCATCAAGAAAGCTCTCATCCGTGATATTCGCGAGTTTGATTTGTATGAAAATCAATTTTTTCTTTATAAAACTCATCCAATTTGGGAAGGATATAATCCTATCGGGGCTTGTCTTCGAGTCATCGGGAAGAATATTAAGAATATCACCAAACTAAGTGCAAATCAAATTACTCTTCCATGTATAGTTTTACAAAACATCGTTGCACATGTCATTCTTCCTCGAAAGGATCATCGGGATGAAGTAAATAATTTTGATCTTTTCATTCTTGATTTATTTCTTATCGGGTTAGAAATTAGACTTTCCAATCATTGCATTAGATCTCATGAATTTGTCCATTCCACTCGTTATTTTAAAACTTTACCTTATGGCATGCTCTTTACGAAATTTTTTAAGCATTTTGATATTCCTTTAAATGATAAGACATTTGTTAAATTTCGTCCTACCGATACCGTCAACATTCAAGCTCTTAAAAGCATGAAAATAATAAAAGAACATGGTCACGAAAGGGTTCAATCCCATCTCGGGTCCTTCCTCTCTACCTTTCGATGGTGATGAAGATGATGATGCAGATGATGTGCCATATGTTCTAAATCCTCGTCGCGACATTCCAAGCTCTAGTGTTTCTCCTTCTTCGACGTGTGGTTTCACAGTTATCAAGAATCACTATAATCTTCTCAACAGGCACTTTGATTCACTTACATCCTCCGTTAACTGCCTGGCGGACCAATTGCAAGTTCAACAAGCTACCATACAAGCCCAACATAATGTCATTCAAGCTCAACAAGCGGCGATACAGGCTCAACAGAATACCTTCTACGCTTGCTTTCCTTCGGAGCAGGAGCCGTAGCCATAGTTTTCGTTTTACAGTTATTTGTTTTTAGATACTTCTTCATGCTTTTGTGTCTTGGATACATTCTTGTTTCATCTAACTTATTTTACTAAGGATGAAATTTGCTTTTGTGTTTTAGATATCTTATGTTATTTTCGATGCAATGTACGTGCTATCACTTGTGCCTATGGTTGTTTTTTTTTTTATCTATGCTTAAATTGTGTTTTTGGATCCCCACTTTCATTCTTTTTGCTTATGTCAGAAAGGGGAAAACATATAAGATGATAACTAAAGTTTTTCACCCCTTATCAATTTGTTACAAATCATCTTTGTTTGTTATAGTTGAAAATGGGGAAAATTGTTGACATATAGTTGAATTCATGTTTTGATCACAAACAAATTGTTTCTATCTCTAACAAATTGAATTTGAGTTTTATAGCTACTGTTACAAAGTTGATCAATTGAAGACAAAAAGATCGTTACCAAATAACTCGCATCGGAAGATCAATAAAAATCAAGATGAGAGCCAAGCGTTCACGACAAATCACACTAAAATGTTTTGGATGCATGTGTAAAGGTAACATGTTTCAATCCTTAGCAATGAATCATTAAAAGCTCAATTGAATGATTTTTCTATGCACGAGAAAATTACTTCATAAAAACATTTACATAAATATTATTTTTCAAAAGGTAAGTATTGCAATTTGATATTTAAACTCTTTACAATATTACTTACCTTGAAAAATAAAGTGAAAAAATCCTTCGAAAGTATACATTTTTCAAAATAATAAAGAAAGAAAAAATTAGGGAAAAGCTGTCCAAGCGGAAGTTCGGTTCTCCCGACGATCAATTTTTTAACCGTTCTGAATTTTGATGCACAGCAGCTAGTTTGGTTGTCAGATTTAGTATGCGAACGTCTGGATGAGTTGTCTAGTTAGTTAGAATTTTTGGACAACTATAAATACCATTCACTTTGCGTTCAACGTAACATTTTTTAGAGCATTTAAGTGAAGCATTCTCTAACTAAATCATATTGATTACACATCTTATTTATCTTTATTAAATCATTCACTTTGAAAAACTTTTGATTGAATCAACTTTTGAAATTCGTTTTTTTTTATCAAAATTTTTCTTACCTAACACTTGAAATTCATTCATTGCTATTCACTAAAGCGTTAGTTTATTTATTTCTTTGTATTTAATTTGATCGTATCATTTATCAAGAGAGAAGTTTCAAATTATAAAATCAAATTTCTTTAAATTTGTTAGGTCATATTGAGGTCTCGTAAAGCTCAATATCGTATAAGGATCCATGTTTCTTGTTTGTAAGTTGACGAAAGCGTTGTATATAGTTGGATTATACCAAAAGTCAATCAATCTAGTGAAAATGTCTTACTCGTGTCGGAGAGCTTGGTAATGAATGACGTAGATCATTGCTTTGGATCGAGCTTCCACAATTATATCGTTTGCATCTTCTCTCCCTTTTACTTATCACTTTTATATTTGCGCTTATTATTTGAATAATATATTTACTCTTTACTTGCTTGAATTTAGTTTAATTTTTCAAAAAAATTTTAAAAATCAATTCAACTCCTCTTTGTTAGTTATTATTGGGCTTTCAGTGACCTCATTGCTCGTATGTTATATGTAAATTGGTCTGATTACACCTTATATAAGTTTAGTGATCTAATTGCAAGTATGGTGAAAATTTAGTAACCTTTAGCGCAAGTTACCCAAAGCATAGACGTAAGATTTTGTACGAGGTTATTTGCTCGTAGCTCCCTATTGTTATCAGATACAGCAAATTTTACTTTTCTTTTTTCGTGGTTATGAAAAGGGATGTAGAGAAAATGGAAATTCTTTGAAAATCTTATATCGCAACGTGAAATTTCTTATTAATTAGTAACCTAAACATGACATTGCATAGCTAAAACAAATTTTATACCTCTCCCACCAAAGCATATCACTTCATATTAAAAAAAAAATGAAAACAGCCCTAAATTGTTCATAAACCTATCAGTTTACTTCAACGATCGAAGATTCTTAACTAGGTTTTATGGTTAATTGATAAAAGTCAAAATAATTATAGAAGTGGCTTAGGAGGCTAATTATCGTACTAATAAATAGGATAAGAAAAAAGAGGAGCCGAGGAATCTCACGTTGGTATAGTATAAAAGTACTAATTAATCAACGTACCAAAATTTGTACTATCTTTCTTAACAAGATTATCATTTTAAGACAGAACATTAAACCCAAGTATGGAATTGAAATGAGCAATTGATTCGTCTAAAGCTTGAAAACGAGTAGTCAGATTCCACGATTGGTATGCTGAAATAAGTTCGTACTTGATTCTCAATAAGTAATCATTTACTCTTCAAATCTCTTTGTGAACTAATTGGCATAATTCATATGCTCAAAGTCAAAGTTATATCCAATATTTTTAATTGATTAGGTAATTCCTTAATCACAATCTCTTTGTCTAATCCTAAGATAAGATTCTCCCTCACGTGTCTGCTGTTTGGGGAGTCTTTACCCCATTCTATCGCTTATAATTGACAGTTTGTTTAGAATTTAAAATTTAATGATGTCAACTAAATTAGAGAAAATTCAACGACTATTAAATTGGAATTTGTTCTCACTCAGTGGCGGAGTCACATGGTGTCGAGGGCCATTGACCCCAAAAAATTTTAGATTTATTTTACTCTTCTTCAAAATTTAAATTTTTATTCATTCCCTTTTCTGAGCACTGTGCACGATTTTTCCACTGAAAGGCCCAATCTAAATAACTAATTAATTTCTCATTTCTCCTAATTTCCCAAATATCTAGAATTTATCAATTCCATCAAAATCTAATATCTGCCATTACTCAACTTGTCGATGCCTGCAGCAGCCACAAATAGGGCTGTCCGTGGATCGGTTCGGTTCGGTTCGGTTCTGAAGTGACCCGAACCGACCCAAAACTTTCGGGTATTTAATAAATGGAACCGTCAGATCCAAATATAATTATGGAACCGTTCGGGTTCGATTCTGTACCATAATTAAATTTTTTAATATTTATAACAACACTAAATAAATACAACTAATGACATTTCATTCGTAACTTTTACAAATTAACGTAGCCCAATTCAAAAACATATAAATAAATAACCGTCCAATAAGATTAATTCAATGCATACGAATACTAAAAAGTAGATAATAATATTACAGCAACACTACATAAAGTATATTCATTTANTTGTATACAAAAAAATAAAATAATTTAATTAATTCAATATAAAAAAAAAAAAAAATTATTTAGTTTCGGTTCTTATTCGATTCTTCGGTTCTTGGTCTAGACCCGAGACCTGACCCAAACCCATCGATTCTCGATTCGGGTACCCGTTCGGGTATTTAATTTATGAAGAACCGTTCGATTCGGTTCGAGACTTTTGGACACCCTAGCCACAAATATTTAGCCACAAGAACACCTCTCTTTTCATCTCTCAAGTATACACCGTTTCAAAAAAAAAAAAATTACAACTTACTGTTCGACCACACAATGAAAAATGTGGAAAAATTAAAAGGTCCCAAAGAAAAAAATTCTATTGGACTTCGGCGACCAAGAAATGAAATAATTGAGAATCTTGAGTAACTAGCAGAGTCAAAGAAACTGCATTTGTCTGAATCAGGAGGAATGAATGAGATAGATATAAAGGAACAATTGCATTAACTCACCAAAGGATATGAAGATTTTTCAACTTAGATATTACAGTTTAGAGCCTTCTAATTATTCCAAGGAATAATGACTCCAAATATTCAGGTTCGACATATTGTTTCTATTATATATATTACGCAGAATGATAAAGACATTATCGAGGGTGAATATCCTGATTCAACGCCAGAGAATTTCCTGCCATGATCATAAAGTCCAACTTTAAGAATTAATAACACTGCATTTCTTCCTTATTTCTCCTTTAGTTCCTGTCAGTACATCAATAGCCCCCATTCTCTTCATTGATTGGCTGAACTCGGTAAAGAATTTTCCGGGGCTTACCAACTCGTCGATTATGTTACTAGCACCCTTATTAGTCAGAAGGGCAGCATCTGATTGGAAAAGTCCCTGTTGTTGCTTCAGAACTGAAAAGTAGTGAGTATTAAATGTTAAAGAACTCCCAGGATCCATTTCTACTATAGTTGTGTTGTCTGAAAGGCTTTGGCATTTTGTTCTCAATGTTGCTGCATAGATTGAGTTTAAGGAGGGATCTGCATCGCCTTTTCCGGTGAAATTATATAGTCTGTTGCTGAAGAAGTTGCAGTGTCCAACTCCAATTGTATGTGCACCTATATCAATGTGAAGAACGAATAGTAACAAATGCAAAGAAGAGGTATTTTTTAAGAATAGCGAAGAGTTTGAACCAGAATTTTTCAGAGGGACGAGGTTTATTTTTTTATTACACTACATGATGCAATACTTCGAGTAACCTCTATCAGGTGAAGAGACGGGTAGGGTTAGTAGGGGTCGAATCTTCAATATCAATGTCATTAAACTACAAGTCCTTAAAGATCTCTACATTGAATTCGCTTGAGTGGTATTAGGTGATGCTGTAATATATAAATCTTTAGATAGTAATAAAATTTCGACACTTGTTGGTGAGTACACGCGTGGCTTTAAACACACTATGATGCAGAAGTCCAAGTTTAAGTGAATTGTTCTTAGCAAGTTCTAACTGAGTTGAGAACAAAATACCTGATAAAACAACGAGATCTTTCACTGTGAGACTTTTGTTGGCAAAAGATTGTTTGAGGGTGGTGAAGTTGAAAAATGGCGAAGGGATGTTGGCTAGCGCCTCTGATGCACGGGAAATCCTTCCATCTCTTCTACCGGTTAGCACCTCCCACATCAATCTATTAAACTGCATTAATCAGCCACAAAAGATTTTTTAAGTGAAGTTCAACTCGTGCCTCAAAGAATTGCAAGGTTTTATACTTAAAATGGTTGCCATATAATGTTGGTGACATGTTTGGTATGATAGAGTGAAATCTTATCCATTATACCATCTAGTCGAGTACTGCATATCAGATAAACCTTTGGTGATTCATAACTTTTTTTTTGTCTGTTTGGATTTAGAACTCCACTGGACAGACAATCTTAATGGAGTTGGTCATATGAACTTCATAAAATTTTGTTATAACTTACTTGAAACGAAACCGAATCTCTAGCAGATAAAGCCACAATATCAGCACAGGATACTACTCCTGGACAGATGTTCTCTAGCTGACTCTTTATTTCATCAATGACATCAAATCCTTCAAGGGATTGGTTAGGGACCGCAACTTTTTCTGCTGCATTATTTGAGGTTGAGTCGAGCAACACTGAGCCATCACAACCCTGATGAAAAATCAGCAGAAATGAACCCTCATGATAAAACTACAAGAAGTTATTCTGTAAATGCAAAAATGTAGTATGAGCATTTTTGGTTGTGCTAATAGTAAGTCAAACTTAAGTAACATTTTTTATTATTACTGAAAGTAACTTTTAAAGCACAACCAAACATGATCTATCGTCTGATAAATTTACTAGATTTTCAGAATAGATGTGGGATGAGCATGAAGTAATTAACAATACTTCTTCAAGAAGTTCGGAAAGTAAGTTTTACGTACCCTAACAAAACAGTCATGGAAATGCATTCTGATCAACTTAGCGGGCAATGTATTTTTGCTAGCGACATGTTTCCATGTAACATGTCGAACAATATTCTCAGCTTCAGGGCAACTAATTCGATAAAAGTTTTTCCTTAACTCACCACCATTACAAGATCCTAATACTAGAAAAACCAGCAAACTTATGGACAAAATATTAAGGTTGTCCATTTCTCTCTATATAACTCTATATTGTGTATAAACTCTACTCATACTTATATACAATCAAATGAGACATCCTTTAGCAGATAAACAACAATATAATATAGCAAATATCAAGTTGTCTGATTGAAGGATTTTTAAAGATATTGGTTAGGAATATTATGTTCACACACACATTTTAACAAACCAAACCTAACCAATTAAATATTTGTTACTTGATAATTAGGTTTACATAGTTTTCCTTGAAAGATCACAGAACATTGGGTTTTTTTTATAGATAGAGTACACAAAATAATCAAGAAATTTACGAATGGTGAGATTTTTTTATTTTTTTTTTTCATTTTTTACATGGGTTTTTTTTATAGATCAAAAGTATTGTTGTGAAAATAGTTATTGCTTATGCCCTATTTTACACATTTGAATGTGCTGAGAAAATATCAATCGTTCTATTTGCTAGTAGCTCGAGCTCGATATTGATACCAATCAATAAAACGAATCTTGGTTTTTATTTTTACAGTGATGTACCAAAGAGAGGAAGTACATTACAAGTATCGATTTGGGATCATATCTCCTAGTGATATACCAAGAAGAGTGGAATTGTTCTATTATTTTATTTTTATATTTATTTATTTATTTTTTGCAGGTTTGATGCATACCAAATAATTTGTAGAAAATGAGAATTCATTAGCGAAATTACATCATGCAGTATATTTGGTTTGTCAGTGACCTTAACATAATTATATTTTATATTAAATTAAATGGAGGAGAAGAAATTAGTTATAGTAGCTTAAACTAGCTCTCCTACCAAAGCATACATTTCATATACATATGTACATATGATAGATAAATGTGGAAATAAATTCCAATTTTATATTAGTTGGAAAATAAAAACCCATCAAATCCATATGAATTCGTTTTCTATGAAAACAAAGAAAATGTAACTTAAAGTGATTGTACCTTGGAATTCAGCTTCCATTTCCACGTTGCAATCAAATAATCAAAGTGGAATTCGTTTTCCTCGGATATGATATTTTTCATGGAATTCTTTGCAATCAAACAGGGTCTAAAAAGAAAAAAAACATAGCATTTTGATTTTAAATACAAATATTAGAATTAGTCAAATGAAGTTGTTAGTTTTATTCTTAATTATAAAGGCGTGGAATATCTCTATATTTTTATACCATTAGTTTGAACCTGGATTTGAAACCAAACCCCTTCACTAGTTAATATATAACATTAGTTTGAACCAAGATTTGAATGGTCGGCTTAATTATTTTTTAAAAGGAAAAAAATGCCCGTTATTTCTTTCATCACTCCCAACATACGAATATCAACATTAATGGTATGTAAATGTAACTTGTTGTTCAAGTAACTATTCGTAGTTCCTAAATCTCCTTGTAAAGCTTGTTGAAAAATTTGTTGTCGGAATTGATTAATCATCCTTTACTTTCTTCCCTCTCTGTCCTAAACTCGAGTCGTAAAAAAATAGCTATTGCAAAAATTATTTTTCCTTGCTTCTCAAATAATTAAAAATTTATTCTTGACTAGAGAAATAAAATTAATACGAAGCAGTTGACTTGCACCCTTCAGCACGTCAAGAAGCGACAGTATAACATTTATTTAAGTTATATTAACCAGTTAGCAGAATCCACGAGTTTGAATTCAAAGTTAATCTAATTTTTTATTTTTTAATTGATTTGTTAATACCTTAAATCACATTTTCTCTGTCTAATAATTTGTCCTCACATGGGTGCTGTTTGGTTCATCTTTATTGTCATTTCTTGCTTATCTTTGACGTTTTGTTTACTCAACGATAACAACTAAACACGATGAATTACATTCAATATGGTACTTACCCCTTTATCGACACTTTTAAAAAGGGAAAAAAATATTACAATATTATTCATTATATTGTTGGTGTTTTTTCGGCGTCATACTGCATGCCAAGCACGCATTTAATATTTCTTAAGAGGGAAGGGAAATGTATAGCTTTCTCTTTGATTCTCCTTGTACCACGTCCCTAAACATGAAAAACATTTAAATTTAACCTACCTCTAAGTCATTACCGGGCTCATAGACAAAAAATACATCTCACTTTCATTTCTTTGATTATTCGATCCTTCTAAAGAAAGCAATCAAGACCTCCAAGGTATGTTTTGTGTGCAATACTAGATACAACCAGACAATATAATGAATAAGATTTTAACTTCAACACAGTACAATGCTATCCTGTCCACGTCAATAAACATGCGCGCAGGAAACAAAAAGAAAAGAGGTCGTGCTGGTTTTCCATCATCCATTCCACAACAAATTTGAGCACTGTTTTATCAAGTAATCTTGCCGTACCACCACCTATCATGTCCAAAACTTCAAGAGATAATACATTCTAGCAAATCATTCAAGTGAAGGAGTTCATCCCGGCAAAAGAAAAACAACGAATCATCAAAATAATTCCAGACTAATAACCAAAAACGAACTACCATGACAATCTAATTATGCCATTTTTTATTTAATTCCTCGCGCATCAAAGATGAAGACAAGGAAAGTTGTATTACTGTCGTGATGAAGTGCAAATAACATTAACCCATAAAAACCATGAAAAAGTTCTAATTATGCATCCAAGTAAAGAATTGCAGTCGTGAACAGAAACTCCAGAATAATCGCGTGAAGCATTAATCAAGGCAACAAAAAGCACGAGTGTAATTGGCGTCGAGCTCCACTGATAGGAGTGCTGCTCTCAAACCTCTAATTCTTTCATTGATAATTTTGTTTAATACTAATAGCTCACTTCTGCAAAGACAACAAAAGATAATTAGTATAGGTAATTTGTAGATACACTCCAAAAAGTGATTTATAAGCATCGATCATCTTTGTGAGCTACTGCATGGAACTTAAAATTAGTCCCTTAATTTCGTAACAACATTATCTTTTGTACATCTAGTACAAAACACAAATCACCTTGAGAAAATAATAATAAATACAAAAGAAGAGAAAGAACCACAATATACTGCCCATATACAAAAGGACACGAGTTAGAACAATATAGTACTTATTTGACGTCATTCACAAAATCTATCCATGACATTATGGGAAGGGTTGCTTATTCCAGACAACGAAAAGAAATAAACCCTTATTCTTGGTAAAGGATCTTCTATGCCCACGAGGGCCCCCCTTCTGTTTTGCTTACCCCACAGTACCCAATGGGGCAAAATAGAGATGATTACTCAGTGGTATAGTGTCCAGGATGATGCTGGTTGGCTTATTTATAGGAAAACTGAAAACAAGCCAATGACTGGCCTGATATTTAAGTGATATGTTCCTGGCATAATTAATCAGCTCATTTTTTGGCCAAAGTTATCTAATTATGAGAAGGGAAGATGCAATCTAACAGTACTACAAAAGAACAAGAATGTCAAACCTTCACAAAATGAGCTAGGAACTTTTTCTTGCTTGCTTATCATGATCTCTCCATGGATTTAGAGCTTCTCTAACAGCTTGAGCTTCAGCAGAATTCTCCCAAGCCCTCTTCTCTGACTCAAGAACTGTCACTTTATCATCTGCTCAAATCCAAATATAAAGGCAAATGAGGATACAAACCAGAGTTATAATACTCTCTAAAAACCAAAAAACTTGACAAAAGAAGCATACTGCTATTACAGAAATTTCAGATGCTTAAAATGATAATGAACGACATAAAATTTCAGGTTTAGTTTAGCATATCCAAGTGAAAGAACTATGGGTGAACCAATGGAAGCTCATGATGAAACTATATGAGGCGAGGATGCATCCAGACTACCATAGGAAAGCCCGCCCCGGCAAGAGACTCATCGGAGAATGTTCAGTCATTTTCACTGGTCATATAAAGAGGAGTACAGATGCAGATACTCCACACAATGAAAACTTTTGCGCGCACACAGCTCAACATAGAAAACCAAAATTTAGACAATATGAATCAACAAGTAGTATTAGATAAAATGCTATTCATCACAAGGGGAAGTCGACTTGCAATCTAATTCCTTTAATTTGATATAAATTATTGATTTCAATTGTTAACTATGCATTTTGCATTCCCTAATCTTGAATAGAACATACTTCAACTCACAGAATACAGAACACAAGAAAACCCAACAAAAATCGAAACCCATTAATTGACTCATGCGTAAAAGATTTCCGAAAAAGCATTTCATTATCTTCAAAGAGACAACAATAGCTTGAAATTTGGGCCACAGAGATTCATGTTGATTTTAATTTTTGCAACTTTTATTATCTCAATTCCTGGGACGCAATTCCTTGCTGCCAATCATACCATCAATAAATTCCTAGTTTGATTGTTTAGCCGAACTGAGCATATAAAATACACCAAATCCTCCTTTAAGAACTCGCAGACACAGAAAATAGTAAAAACTGAATAATCAGCAGATTTAAGTAAAATCCGTAAAATGGGACTTGATTAATCCAATAACATCCAAACATAGATCGAGAAATTCCCTTTTCCACTGATTTTCCAAAATAAGCATATAAACCACTCCGAATTCATTCTTAAGAACACACAGATAACAGCAAAAGTATAAAAACTGAAAACTCAGCAGATTTAAGTAAAATACAAAATGGGGCTTTATTAATCCAGTAAAACTGTAAAAAGTAAACCATCAGTGAATCTGACGTGAGTAAAAAATCGAAAAAAGCAGTGAGAAAGAGGGTTCTCACACAGAAGCCAGTTTTGATCATGAAGAATTCCATGGAACCCCCAATCGCGGCTGAAACTAACGCAATCTTCAAGTACCAATCTAGAAACTTCATTTTCTACTACCACAATCAAACGCAGTTTCAAGAATTTTAGTGGGGGAAGGGCAAAAATGTTGAATCAACTTTTGTTGAACAATTTATTGATATAGGAGGAAAGTCCCAATGCCCAATCAACCAACTGGTTATTAAGTCATAGCATGTTGAGAAATGGGTTAGTTTAGGGTTTAAGAATTGTAATACACACGCTTCTGTGTTTTTAAATT